TGTCATGTGGGAATCTCCCTGGCCGGCAGGGAATTGAACCCGCGATGCAGAGGCTGTGGACAGCTTCACGGCACTGCGCTCAACTCCCTGTGCCACTGGGGAGGCCATAGAAATGACTGATTTTTATTAAAAGCTTATTTTATGTACCACCTGCATGTAAAGATATTTCATATAGTACTTAGTGGTTTTTCCCCTTTTCAAAATGCTCAAAGGAATATGGTCTTCTGAGCATGCAGTGTTCTATATTCTGAGGATGCAGTGTTCTATGTTCCTAATTTCCAAGAACCATTTCACATCTTTCTTAATTCAATGCTATAAACCTTTGTTTTGTATGCGGCTCACTTTGAAGGTATGAAGAGCTGAATAATAGATGTTCTCTGCCCTGTAAACCCCCAGTGGCCTCTGATACTGATGTATGCACGTTGGAAGGGCAGGGGAGGACGCAGGTCATTGTATGAGTGCATATCACCTTCCCAGCTGGAATGAAATATGTTAAGTTCTAAAAATGAGGTCTAAACAGAGCACCAGGGCAGCGCAGAAGACATTGCCTGACTTGAGGTGAGGGCAGGAGTCAGTGCAGGCGTGTTGCCACAGTTCAGGGGTTGCATCACAAAGATCTTTAAAGCTTTGTTGAAGAGTTTGTGTTTTTATTATTGGGGTATTGGGGACCTATTGAAGGGAGGGTGTGTGTGTGTGTGTGTGTGTGTGTGAACACTTTTTTTTTTACTTACTTTTTTTTACATTTTTAAAATTAAAAAAATTTTTTTAAAGATTATTTATTCATACAGGAGCTGGGGTACAGGCCAGAGATGCGGGGGGTGAGAGGATCCACCAGAGATAGAGTGGGGAACAGAACAGGCAGATTGACTGAAGTACACTGCTGAGGGGAGCAGCACGTAAGTTGGGGATTGAACTCGTGCTGCAGAGGCTTCAGATTGCTTCATAGTGAGGTGCTTAACCCCTTGTGCCACCAGGGAGGCCTTTTTTATTACATTTTAAAAGGACAAGTTTACTAGGAAAAGAGAAAAAGGCACTTGCATGTAGTCACAGGCAGGTAGGAGAGCTGCTGTAAAGACACTTTTGGGGGTTAAATTTTGTTTTATTTTTCCTCAGAGTACTTTAGCTGAGCTGTGTAGCTGCTCATTGATCGAGAGAGAAACTCTTGTCCATTTTTTTTGCACAATGTGTATGTGTAGCACATTCATTGTGTGGAGAAGCTGGTATCTATAAAGTTCTCAAACAGGAAGCTTTTTCTACTGCCTGGGCTCGTGAGAGCCTCCTGAATGAATCCTCTGGCCTCAATAGGTTATGACTTCCAAGCTGCTTTTTCTATCCTGGAAACACCGGTGAGAGAGCTCTCCTGGGCTCTTCTCAGGAGGCCTAACATTAAAAGGTGTTTTGAGGTTGGAGTTTTCAAGGATCTCTCTCTAGCGTGAATACGAGGATCTATAAGCTTCATGGAGTCTGGGAGATTTCCAAATTGGGGTCTCTAGATTTCCTTCTCAGGATTAATTCCAGGAACCGCTTCCTGACAGTTGTTCAACATTAGAACTAATGCATAATTAGGGAGGATTCTTTTGTGTTTACCGTTATGTCCTCCAATCGATGAGAGGAATGACTCAATTCTGTGTTAAAGCCAATGCACTACATTAGTTTTTGCATTACCTTTTAAATATTTTGATAATAGAATTATTTCTGGTAAGGCTAAAATACAAAGTAAATCTTCCTAAATTTCCGGCTACTAAAACTGGGAGCCATCCTTGTATTGACTCCCAAGAGAGGAGAGGGAAAGTGGTAATTTTGATACTATGCCCTGGAATAATTTTCACAAGATTTTTTCAAATAAAAATTAGTACCTGAATGGTTGGCTGGTAGCAGTCTTTATATACCTGTTCTAGCTGTAATATAGACGTGAATTGTCTTGAAATTAAAACAACTATTTAACTGTGTTTCTATCAAACTGTAACTAGTAAAATTTTGTCCACCTCAATTTCCTGTCTTGTCTTCTCTCACCCTCTCCCCAAGTCCCTTCCTCTCCCTGCTCGCCTCTGACACGGTGTACTGGTCTACAGTAAAACCTGGGTTGGGCAACAGTGGTTTAAGATCAAAATAACATTACCAAACAATATTGACAAATTAATTCAGTTAATGTTAATCTGAAGGAAAAAGATTAGATCATTTTATTAAAATACAGAAAATGGAATAAAATGCTTTTTATTTTTAGGGAGACGGGCTATGTATTTCAGACTAAAAAGTAAGATGCATGACCAATGCAGTGCCATTTAAATTTACTGTTTTACTTACAATTGAATTTCAAAGCTAAGTGGGGTCAAAACAATGTGATGCAGGTAAAAGCAAACTCTAAACTATAGATCAAAGGAAAGTTATAGCGAAGCACAGTGGGAAGAAACCAAGACTGGGGCGAGTGGCAGAAGCTTGGGGCCAGGATATCCTCGGTGAGAGACAGAAAAAGCATTTTAGAATGACAGGAGCCGCTCATTTCTTTGCTCCTATGTTATAAAGCACAGACTTGAAAGTCAACACTGCAGATGTCCTCAAATGTCAGTTTGAAAATCAGGCAGAGACAGCGGCCATCCTGGAGTTCAAGAGAATGTATAAGACTCACGAGGACTGACAGTAACTCTAGAGACAGAATTTAGCACCCATGAAACTAAGACCAGGATTCATACAGGGTTGTTTATTTTTTTTAAAGATTTATTTATTTATTTATACAAGAACCAGGGTACAGGACAGATGTGCGGGAGGGTGAGAGGATTCACCAGAGACAGAGTGGGGAACAGAACAGGCAGACTGACGAAATACATTGCTGACGGGAGCAGCTGGTGTGATAGGAGAGGGTCTGTGGCACCATGTGGGACCCTCCTGACCCGCAGGATCGAACCTGTGCTGCAGAGGCTGTGGACAGCTTCACAGTGCGGAGCTCAACCCTGTGCCACAGAATGTTTATTTAATATTCAACTTCAATTTCCTGTCAGGGATCTACCTATGACTGAAGACAAAATAAAAGAATCAGCAGTGGTTAGAACCTCTTCTCACTTACTTTTAGAACCTCTCCCTTAACTTACTTTTTACCAAGCCTTGAAATAGTGGTTCTTAAGCTTTTTTGCTCTGGAGCTTTTTTGCTTTTCATCATAGTTTGATGAAAGCTATGGCCCCATGTTGTAGTACACATGTAATGTAATTTTGCATACAGTAGCAAAAGCTTTACAAAATTTCACTATCCATCCGTGGTAGCCACTAGATAGCACTTAGCAACATAAGCTGCATTTTAAACTTCATGGACCCTACATTAAGAACTGCCCTACCTGAACTCCTGTGGATCTTCTGGCCTGTGACTCACTCCTAATCAAGTGTTCTTTGAATATCGACAGGCCTCAGAGAAATGGAGAAGGAACATGGCAGTAAATTTAAATAACTCTGAAATTCCATCTAACTCTAATTACTCACATCAAGGGGAACTTAGCAAATGAATCATCCTTGATTCTCCCCATTTGGTTCTTCATTCTCATGCATCCTGCAATAACAAGGCAAGTGGCTGTTCCACCAGATGGGCTGAGCTCGCGGGAATTTGCTGGGCATTGGTGACAGCTACTATTTATTGAGTTCATACTAAATTCTAGGTACCTACATTTGTTACCTAAGTAGCCTGCACCTGCTAGCTCATTTCGTCCCCACCCAATGTTATAAGGCGGGTACAGGATCCACTCCAGTATCCGTCCCTGGCCTCAAAACAGGCAAGGCCACCGAGGTTTGGCGGTAGCCAGACGGGGTAACTTGTCTGCGGGGACGCGGTGCCAGAGAAGAGGTTTTAAGTTCGCGTGTCGAGTCCACTACTGGGCAATTGTCTAAAACATCAAAATCGTCTCCCAGGACTCTTAGGTCACAAGCCTCAACAAGGTTTGCGGAGACGGACCTCGGCCTGCCCGTGGGCGATCGGGGGCCTCTGCCCCTGGAATGGGACAAGGAGAAAAACAAAGGGAGACTGTCCACCGGCCCTCCACAGCCGACTCCCCGAAGCAGCTCGTAGCCAGAGCTTCGTCCAGACTAGCTGGACCCGGCCCGGAGACGGCCCTCCACGGCCGCCCTGCACCTGGGGGGATGACCCGGGCTGCGCCCCACGAAGCTGGGGTGGGGGAGGGCAGCGTCTGGCCGGGCCGTGCGCCCGCCAGGGGGCGCCTCCTCCGGACCGGCGCGGAGTCCTCCACTGCGCGGGCAGGACCCGCCCCTCCCGACGCAGGCTCACGAGGGAGCAGGCGGGAAAGGGCCGTGGCGCCCGTCCTCGCGGGGCCGGGCCACGAACAGCACGTCCCGCGCCCAAGTCCCCTTCCAGCCGCTCCGGCACCCAACCGCGCCGGGCGCCAGGCCCGGCCCAGGGCGCATGCGCACATCGGGCCGCGCCGCGAACTACACCTCCCGGCAGGCTCCGCGGCAGCCTCCCGGCCTGCCCCGGGAGCCGAGAGGGCGGCCGTGGCGGTCTCAGAGGCCTTCCCCTGCCGGCTCCGAGTCGCCGGGGCGGCTGGCGCCGCTCTGAGCCCGCTGTGGCCGGGTCTGTGCTTCTGAGCCTCGGCCGTGGGCACAGAATTCCTCGGGGGCGCTTGTAGCAATCAGGTGCCGGGCCCGCCCGGCACGCTGACGCACGGGACCGCGCGTGGCTCGGGGACCTGCACGCGCGTGAGCTTCCGGGGAGGCGGCCCAACCCGCGCCGCCGCACGCCTCGGGCGGCTTTTCACGAATGCGCCCGCGGCCGCGCGCGGGCCTCTGGGGGCGCGGACCGCCCCGGTAGCCCCGCCTCTCGTCCCGCCCCTGCAGGCAAATCTTCCTTCTGGTTGGCCGGCGTTGAGTCTGTGACGGCCCCTGGCCCAATGGGCGCTGGGGAGCGCCGAACGCGACCCGGAAGTCGGTCCCGAGCAGGCGCCGTTGGCCGCGGACGCCGGACCGCGCGCTGAGGCTTCCGGCGTGGGACGGGGCGCCGGTCCTGCGTGAGTCGGTGAAGAGGGCGAAGCGCGGCGCTCAGTCCCGCCTCGGGGAGGTTCTGGCGAGGGCGGGCCGGGGGGCCGGCACGGTGGCGCCCAGGACCGGCTGAGGCCCAGGCGCCGAGCCGCTGCGCCCGGGCTGGACGGTGCTCCTCGGCCGGGACTTGGCGCCTCGGGGCCCCGCTCCCGCCGACGCCGGCCCCCGGCGCGGGCCTCCCGGGCGGGCGCTGCAGCCTCCGGCGCCGCGGCGCCCCGGGGGCCTGGCGATGGCGTCGGGCCCGGCCTCCCAGGACCGGGAGGGGCTCCTGATAGTGAAACTGGAGGAGGACTGCGCCTGGAGCCAGGAGCTGCCCCCGCCTGAGCCCGGGCCCAGCCCCGAGGCCTCCCACCTGCGCTTCAGACGGTTCCGCTTCCAAGAGGCCGCCGGGCCCCGGGAAGCCCTCAGCCGGCTCCAGGAGCTGTGTCATGGGTGGCTGCGGCCTGAGATGCGCACCAAGGAGCAGATCCTGGAGCTGCTGGTGCTGGAGCAGTTCCTGACCATCCTGCCCCAGGAGATCCAGAGCAGGGTGCAGGAGCTGCGTCCGGAGAGCGGCGAGGAAGCGGTGTCCCTGGTGGAGGACATGCAGAGAGAGCTGGGGAGACTGAGGCAGCAGGTGAGAAGGGGAAAGCCGTTGAATCTGTTTTGTTTGACCCCGTGGACTGGGACATCCTGCAGGCCAGGTCCCTGTAAGAACTGACTTCGTTGCCTTGAGTTGACCTCACGTGGGCCTTGTGGTTTACCAGGGACTCCTCCAGACTGTCCGCGGACGGACAGAATGAGCAGCGAAGAGTCCCTTGTTTCCACATGGAGGCGGAGGCTCTTAGTTCACAGGGCTCAAGTCCTCCGGTTCCATGCAAGGCTTGTGATTTGACCAAGTTACTTCATCTTTTTGGGCTTCAGATTCGCCAGTGGTGGAAGAAGAATGAGAAATACCTTTCAAGCGGTTACTTTGCGAGCCCGAGGGAATGCGGTAGTTAGTAATCAGGCCCGGGGTCTAGCTCGTGCCAGGGAGCTGTTACTGTTAGGTTGGGATCAGCAGTCTCGCCTCACAGAGCTGGATCAAATTAATCCTGAACTTAGAAAAACAGTTTGACACTGAGGCTCTGAGGGCACTTGCCTCCAGGACCACTTAAGCTTACGCAGTAGTGAGGAGTGGAACATCTAGAAACAGAAAAGATGGAGGAAAGCAAGGGGGAGTGAGGAGTAGCAGAGGAACTACCGGCACTAGGAGCACCCCTTCCCCTGCCTCCCTTCCCAGCGCCCTAGCACGCACATGTAGGGGGGGATCAGAAAGGTCTGTTGTGTAAAACATCCTCCTCTGTTGCTGGATCACGGGGACCCACAAGCGGTTCTCTGTTGCAGGCTTGCCTCAGAACCCTGTACTAACTTCCCTTCCCGCCAGGCCCTGTTGTGATGATGAGTGATGTGGGTTGGTTCCCAGGTCACAAACCATGGGCGGGGAACAGAAGTGCTTTTGGAGGAGCCTTTGCCTCTGGAAACAGCACGAGAGTCACCGAGCTTCAAGCTGGAGCCAATGGAGACTGAGCGAAGCCCTGGCCCCAGGCTGCAGGAGCTGCTAGGCCCCAGCCCCCAAAGGGACCCCCAGGCTGTAAAGGAGAGGGGTGAGGACCAGTTACTTGGGCAGGTGGGTGGGAAGAGGGGCTTTGGAGCACCACTGCCCAGGAGAGGCAATTTCTGACCTCAGGGTTCCCGGTATAGAGTGAAGCACCTGGTGGTTTGGATTCTTGAGGGGTGGGGGGAGGGTGCGGGGTTCTAGTAAACCCCTTTATGTGCAGAACAGATACTTTCAGGGCTGGATGAGTGAGGGGGCCTGAATGCTGCTGCAGCAGGGGAAACTGCTGGTATGCCTTTGCCCAGCACTGCGTGGCCTGTCGTTTCGGATATCCTTTAGGCCTTTGTCACCTTCTGTTCAGTGTTCTGTCCTCAGAGTAGCGGCTGGGTGTTGAGGAATAGATACTGTAGTGGAATAATCTCTGGGTTGCCAAGAATTAGGGGTGCCATTCTCATCCTGATTTCTGTTACCTTTAGCATTATCTGCTCCCTGGCTTTCTCTTTTTCCTCCTGAAGGGAACATGGAAGACAAGGAGATGACTGGGCCCCAGGTGATATGGACGTTCCCATTGTCTCCCCACCTTAACCGCCCCCCCACCCCTTTGCGCTTGTGGGAGCAGGGTCCTTCTTCCACTTGGAGAAGATCCTTTCTCCCTTACTGCATGCATCTCCCCTGCCTTCTTTGTCGCCTCCACACCTCCCTGGCAGTCTTCTTCTCCGTGAAACTGTCCTCAGTACCCCACCTCTCCCCAGCCCCACATTTTGCCCCTTTAATCCTTGATTCTGCTTGAATTGTTCTTGGTGCCTCAAGCTCTAAAGGAGATCTTGTGCTGTTTCAGTTGCCCGAGAGCTTAGAGGACGTGGCCATGCACATCTCCCAGGAGGAGTGGGGCCTTCGGGAGCCTAGTAGGAGGGCCCTCTCCCGGGACCCAGTGCGGGAGAGTTTTGAGAGTGTGGACACAATGGGTAAGGATTTTTCTTCTAGGATGAAAGACTAAGCCATTTCTGATCAGGGTCCTGTCCCCTGAGACACTGCCCACATTTGCCACAAGACCTCCCTTTGTCTCAGGCCCCCTGGACCAGCATTAGATACAGATCTGCCAGGTGGTGGCATAGTTGACATGTTTAATGACTTCCATCTGCCAGCTCTCCCCCTCCATCACCTCCAGGCACACACATTCAGTGTCCCAGATTGCTGTGGGCTCTGCCATTTTGATGCCTTGCCATTTTGATGGTGCTTATTCTGTCTTCATTTATGTTTTCTATATTTCATTAGTATTTCTAGGCCTTTCCACAAAGACACAAAAATTCAGGAATGCTAGCATCAGCATTCTTGCTTATCAGTTAACCTGTTCCTTTAAAATTCAGGAAGTAGAATTGGGGGAATTTAAAAATGACATATATATCCGGAACAAACTTAATAAATTAAATGCAGGAGTGTGTTGAAATATTATGCAGAGATTAAAAGTGAGATCTATGAAATATGACAAAAAACTGGTAGTTAGATTTAGGTTGTGTGTATACAACTGTTATGCAGTTCTTTCAACCTTTATATATATATATATATATATATATATATATATATATATATATATGAAAGTTCTCATAAAAAGTTGGGGAAAGTCCTCAGCAACATGCAACAAGAGTCTATGGTGCAATTATAGGTAACACACATAGCAAAAGAGCCATATTGCACATCCCCTTCCCCCGCCCCCCCTTATACCTCAGGCTTTCAGAAAGAGAAGCACAGCTGTCGTTGGGGGTTTTTTTGGTTTCATTTTTATTTTTTGTTCTTTTTTGGTGGCGGAGAGGGAGACGCGTAGCTGCTGATTCATTTGCACTAATATTGAACTGGGCTCTTTGTCTGGTTTGGTTCCTGCCATGGAGTCCTTGCTGGTGCCCTGAGCACAGCCTGTGAGCAGTGCTAAGTAGGAAAAGAAGTTCAGACCATAGGTTCCAGCGGCTCTGTTCACGATCCATCTTTGCTGGAGTTGGAGTGAGGTTTTTGGTTTGTTTTACAGTAGCTCAGAAATGACACTTGCGTTGTAGCCAAGAGCACAGGCCTGACTGTCCGTCACACTGTTTCCTCCTGGAGTCACAGTTCCTTTATAATAGTAAACTGATTTCTTCAAGAACTGTGTCTGCTGGAGAGTAGTTTTGACTACAGAAGTAGACGTTTTCACTTCAAAGAACAGCCCAAGGACAGCTGCAAAAGTGTGAAAGGAGCAAGGCGTGGTCTCCCGGGCTTCCTGCTTTAGGAGCAAACATGGGGAATGGTTTCTTATATATGCCAAGCACTTGTCAGAATTATTGCAGAATTATTCTGTCCTCACCCGTGGGCTGGGCTGGGACTAAGACTATCTTTGTTTTCTCTGCCGGGGAGAGGAAACCGATGGTACAGAAATCTGTTTCTTTTGTTGTGAACAGAGTCTCAGGTTCCCGATCAGGAGGCCCCAAGTATCCAGGTAGAACAAAGAGGAAAAACATGGGATCCCAGTGTTCAGACTTGCAAGGAGGGCCTGAGCCCCAGAAGCCCTGCTCCAGGTAAGGACGGAAGAGGAGCAGCTTGCCCAGCAAGCCTCCCGGTGTGGAAGTGAAACACAATAGTTCGGGCATGGGGTTCTCCATCACTGCTGCCAGAGAGGGGCACTGCTTCCTGTGTCCTCATTGCTGCTCTGACCCCAGCGAGACAGGTGAGGCACCCACAGTGCGAAATGTAAGGAAGCACCTTCCCGCCTCGTCCCACTCTCCTCCATCCACTCACTCCTGAAGACTCAAAAGCCAGAGGCTTGGTTGAAGAGGGGGGTGGGGAGGGCGCCTACGAGGGAACTCTCAAGCCTGGTCTGAGCTAATTCTCAAGCAGTTACCCCGACCCTTATCCAAATGCCTCTCTTGAATACTCTGTCCACATGGAGCAGATGGGAAACGGGTAGAAGCAGGCCTTCTGAGCCACAGGCAGTGGTAGACACATGGGGTTTCCTTTTCTCCATTGTAGAAATGATACAGGGGTTTGGTTTCTCTCGTTCTACCAGGGGAACAGAAATTTGAAAACCAGGAAGAAAGTGCTCAGTCCATTCCCCTTGAGAGTGTCCATCCTCAGGCGCTGCTCCCTGGCCAAGCCAGAGGGGAGGTGCCCTGGAGTCCTGAGCAGGGAAGGCCTCGGGATAGGGCAGATGGACATTGGGAGCCTCCTCCAGAGGATCGGATGGAGCAGACTTTAGCGGGGACCACAAGTTGTAAAGAACTGGGGCGATCAAAGGAACTGCAGCCGAAGAAACTCCATTTATGTCCCTTGTGTGGCAAAAATTTCTCAAATAACTCAAACCTTATCAGGCACCAGAGAATACATGCAGCAGAAAGACTGTGTGTGGGTGTGGAGTGCAATGACATCTTCGGCGGGAACCCGCACTTTCTATCACTGCACAGAGCACACTTGGCAGAGGAGGCCCATAAGTGCCTTGAATGTGGAAAAAGTTTCAGTCAGAACACACACCTGACTCGCCATCAGCGCACCCACACGGGTGAGAAGCCCTATCAGTGTAATGTATGTGGAAAAAGCTTTTCTTGCAACTCCAACCTCCACAGGCACCAGAGGACACACACAGGTGAAAAACCGTACAAGTGCCCAGAGTGTGGGGAGATATTTGCTCATAGTTCCAACCTCCTTCGGCACCAGAGAATTCACACAGGAGAGAGGCCCTATAAATGTGCTGAGTGTGGAAAGAGTTTCTCTCGTAGCTCACACCTCGTCATACATGAAAGAACTCATGAGAAAGAGCGACTTCACCCCTTCCCTGAGTGTCGGGAAGCAGTGAATGACAGCTCCCCTTTCCTTTCGCATCATGGCGCTCACAAGGCAGAGAAGAAACTCTTTGAATGTTTGACTTGTGGGAAAAGCTTCCGGCAGGGAATGCACCTCACCAGACATCAGAGAACGCACACTGGAGAGAAACCATACAAATGCACCCTTTGCGGGGAAAACTTCTCGCATAGGTCCAACTTAATCAGGCACCAGAGAATTCACACGGGAGAGAAGCCCTATACCTGTCATGAGTGTGGAGATAGTTTCTCGCACAGCTCCAATCGGATTCGTCACCTAAGAACCCACACAGGAGAGCGGCCCTATAAATGTGCCCAGTGTGGAGAAAGCTTTTCTCGGAGTTCACGCCTTATGAGTCATCAGAGAACTCACACCGGGTAAACCACGGGGTCTGTCTTTGCTGCGGAGAAGGTGGCATAGCCAGAGCGCCCTAGTGTTACGAGCAAGTATTCCGTGACCAAGTGACCTCTGTGTCTTTAGGGTCACGGCTGTAAAGAGGAAAGGGGGTCATTGTGAGGGAGGTGTGGAGGCAGCAGAGGATTCCATCACGCTAAAGAGGAATCTGGCTGAACTAAAGCGGATGGCAAGCCTCTGGGGTGACCTGCTTGGGGCACGGTTCTTGGGTGTCTCTCCTGAATCAGGGCACGCGCACCCCTCGGTGCATTTAGCCAGTTGTGATTTGGCGCCTCACTGTGTCCGGTCTGTCCAGCAACTCTGGGACTCGTGTGACCTCTCCGCTGCTGCTTCCTCACTTGGGACGGTCAGCAGGAGCAAATGGGCTCCTGAGCCCCTTGACGCCAAAGACGAGGGCAGAGTCTCGGGGAGCCAGCTGGAGAGCAGCAGAAGGCTGGTGGTGAGTTGCAGCACTTCCCAAACACTGCTGGGAAGCCTCCAGCACCCCTTAGTGGCCTGACAAGGGCTGATTGGCAGGCCTTGCGTGTAGGTGTCACCTCAGACAAAAGGGGCCCAGAGACCTGGGAATAGCAAGGTGAAGATTTCCAGGACTCGGCAGAGGGAAGAGTGACTCATTCTGTCCTTCTGTCCTTTGCGGAGACCGAGCCTCCCAAACACCCCCCCCCCCCCCCGGCAGAGAAAGATAAGGAGGATGTTAGAGTCTTCCATGAAGGGGTTCCATGAAAGGTGTATTCCCTGGGAGACTTTGAAAATGTGGAACTAGGGGAATTAGGGGTCACACCTTTCCCTGTGGAGGTACGTCTGGACGGTAATAAATATCTTCAGGAAAAAGTGTGCGCGTCCTCATTGATGGTCTTGGTCTCCCCTGCCGATCTGTCTCTTGTCTGTTTTGTTCCGAAGACCTGCTTATTCCATGGCCTACCTGGGTTGGTTAGGAAGATTCTGATGAAGGTGGCAGCTGGCAGGCAGACTGGTGGCCCTGGCCAGTGTCAGGCTGGGGCTGCTGCTTTGTAAGAGTCAAGCCCGTGGCTGCGGATCGTTCACGAGACCTCTCTGACGGCGGGATTCGGCAGTAAACGCGTCTTTGGTTCTTCGTTCAGATTCTTTTTTTTTTTTTTTTAATTTATTTTAATTTATTTTTTATAGAGGCATGTTTTATTTGTTTGTTTGTTTATACATGCACTGGGTACAGTCAGAAGCGCGGGAGGGTGAGAGAATTCACCAGAGCCAGAGCGGGGAGCAGAGCAGGCAGAAGGACCGAAGGACACTGCTGAGGGGAGCAGCGGGCGGCAGGAGAGGTCTGCGCGCCATGTGGGACCCTCCTCCGGTGGCCGGGGAGCAGCCGGGGATCGAACCGGCGCCGCAGAGGCCACGGGCAGCTTCGCAACCCAGCGCTCAACCGCTGCACCACCAGGGAGGCCCTTCGTTCAGATTCTTTACTTTTGTGGAATGGTTGAGCGAAGACCTGGCTCTTCAGAGACAGGGTATTTTGGTTTTGCAAATGGTTCCTAGGAAAAATGGTTCTACTATAATGTAATTATTGATCATGACCGTTGGGAAGTTTAGGGAGGAGAGCGAAATCATTAGGGGAAGTCAGGATATTTTAGAATGGGGAACAGGACTAGCGTTTCTAGCAGAATGTCTGGGAAAGTGGTCAGATGGCCAGGAACTACTCCAGGAGCAGGAAATCCTGTCAGGAAAAAACCAGATCTCTGATTTTTGGGAAGGAACAGATGAAACATTCCATTGCCAACCACCTATCAGAGGCAGCAGTTTTGAGTGAAACAACTTCCTACCTTCCCTTAGAAGCCTTATGTCTACCCTGCCTCCACTCAGTGGGAGTTTCTCCATGCTTTTCTGAGCCAATTTTTAAAGGTCTTACTATTTCATTTTTCTTTCTTTCTCTTACCCACTTGTTCAGAGAAAGGGTGCTGGTGATGCTGGATTCAGGGGCAGGAAGAGGGGGAAGGGTTAGGACACACAGGACCAGTGGTGTCAAGTGGGTGTTACTGTCTCGGGTAAGTTGGCAGTTTATGTGGATCCCACAAGAATGTAAAGCACCCCCCTCCATCATGACCCCCATAGTATCATCCGTGCAGACCTGTGATTGGGTCCAATTGGTGCTGCTCCCATTTGGAGCCTTGGAGCTTGAAGCTAGAGCAGAGGGACCTCCAGGTGTTCACTGCAGACCTGAAGAGGCTTTGCAGGGTGAGCCTTTACTCTGTCCTCAGTCTAGCTCCCCATGTGGCAATTTGCATATGCGTGGCTGTTCTCAGCCTCCTTTCAATGAGATGATGTCACAAAATAGTGCATGTAAAACACTGCTCAGCACCTGGCACATTTGAGGGCATCAGAACATCAGCAGGCCAATAGCGATGGAAGGCTGCCTTCCTTCTCAGTCCCTGGCATGGGGCTTAGCATAAGACTCCACAGGCAGGGGTCTCCCTGGTGGCACAAGGGGTTAAGACGCAATCTATGAGGCTGTCTACAGCCTCTGCAGCACGAGTTCGATCCCTGGCCAGGGAACAACCCACATGGCGCAGCAGACCTCTCCTGTCTTGCCCGCTGTTCCCCTCAGCAGTGTGTTTCAGTCAGTCTGCCTGTTCTGTTCCCCGCTCTGTCTCTGGTGAATCCTCTCACCAACCCCCCCCAACAACTCTGGCCTGTACCCCAGTTCCTGTATGTATAAAGAACGAAATCTTTAAAAAAAAAAAGACTACACAGGCAAGAGCGTCATTCCAGGAACCCGTCTGCTATAGACAGGCAGGATTGATGACTTTCCTTGTAGTCCTGTTTCAAAGAGCAGAGGCCCTTACTGCCAACTTTCTTGAGATCACTGCAAGGACTGGCCAAGTGTATGCAGTCATACTTACAGTCCTACTTTTATTCATAAGCATGCTTTCCCCATTCAGACTTTAATCCACTAGCACTCTTGGAAAAGAAACCAGAACAGATTCTAACTGGCTTTTATGTTAAGGGGAAACATGCTGAAGGGAATAAAAACCCCTGGCCCCTAGGTACAAATGGACCGAAGTGATGTGGGCTGGTCCTGAGCATTAACCACAGCCTTTTAGCAAAGGCCGCACGTGAAACCATGAGACAGGCTCCTGGTAGAGAATCTGTCCCACATGTAGTCCTTGTGGAGAGGCCTGGTTGGGTCAGACCAAAAGGAGGAAGCCAGATGTCCACATGCTACCAATTCAATAGCAGGGGTTTGGAAGAGACTGGAAGAAGTGTTAAAACAATCGTTAAACTTTAATTTTTATTATTTATTTAATAACATTTTTCACTTTGACCATTTTATTATTTATTATTATTTTTTAAAGATTTTATTTATTTATTTATACAAGCACCGGGTACAGTCAGAAGCGCGGGAGGGTGAGAGAATTCACCAGAGCCAGAGCAGGGAGCAGAGCAGGCAGAAGGACCGAGGTACACTGCTGAGGGGAGCAGCGGGCGGCAGGAGGGGTCTGCGCGCCATGTGGGACCCTCCGGTGGCCGGGGGTGCAGCCGGGGGATCGAACCGGTGCTGCAGAGGCCGCGGGCAGCTTTGCAACCCAGCGCTCAACCGCTGCGCCACCGGGGAGGCCCTAATTTTTATTTTTTTAAAGATTTATTTATGCATAGAAGAGCTGGGGATACAGGCCAGAGGTGTGTGGGGGGGGGGTGGGGGCCGGTGAGAGGCTTCACCAGAGACTGAGCGGGGAGCAGAACAGGCAGATCTAAGTACACTGCTGAGGGGAGCAGCGGGCGAGCCAGGAGAGGTCTGCTGCGCCATGTGGGTTGCTCCCTGGCCAGCCCAGGATCAAACTGGCGCTGCAGGGCTGCAGATTGTGTCATGTGTGCGGTGCTTAACCCCTTGCACCACCAGGGAAGCCCCCTAAACTTTCATTTTTTTCCAGAAAAATCCACGAGAAGTCTAAAAATTTTTATTGCAGGAATGAAAGAATTTATGGCTCTCAACAGATCTGAAATTTGAGGCTTTCGACTGCACACTTCTAGTAAATGTTTACTATTCAATCATTAACATTATCAGCAAATAAGAATTTGGATTGTGCAAAATTATCACCAGTACTTGAAGACCTGTAATTTTTGTAAATATTCCCAGTATTTGAAGCAACGAAGTGATGTGCCAGGTCTAAGGGTGTGTTGCAGAAAACCACACAGCACATTCACCATCGGCGCTGGAACCCCCCGCGCGCGCGGCCAGTGCGGCCAGTGAGCGCGAAGCCTCGTCCGTCCGCAGCACCTCCCGGCGCGGACCTGGCCGCGGGCCCGCGGGAGAGGCGGTCCCCGCGCACCCCTCGCCCGCGGCGGCCGAGGCGCGCCTGTCGCGCTAAGTCCGGCGGCAGCGGCCGGGGAGGGCCGCGCTCTGCGGCCCGCGCGGACTCTCCGCGGCCCGGGCCCGGCCGGGGGCCTGACACGGCCGGGGCGTCGCGGGCTGCGGGCGTCGCGGGGAGACCCCCGGCGCCCCGGCGGGGCTCGCGCTCTCGCACGCTGCGGGGGGCCGTGTGGACGCCCCCGCCCGCGGGAGCACTCGGCGGGGCCCCGGCCCACGCGCGCGGGGGGCTTGGGGGCGGCGAGGGCCGGGGGCCGGAATCTCGGGCCAGCAGCGCCCGACGCCGGGCCCGGGGCCGCCTCTGCCCCCGCCCCGCCCCCGCGACTCTGCCGGCCCGCGGGGGCCCCTCACCCCCCAGCCCCGGGCTGGCCGCTGCCCCCCGGCGCACCCGCGCGGGGCGGGGCCTTTGCTCACGAGCAGTTGGGGCGGCATCGCCCCTTTTTAGCTCCCTCGCCCTCGCCCGGGGGCGGGAGGGGGCGGGCAGCGCCCGCAGCGCCGCTGTCCGGGCAGGGTTGGGGCGGCCGGGCCGGACCCCGAGGGGCGCGCCCTCCGCGCGGGCCTGGCGTCGCCCTCGGGGACACTGGCCGGCGCGGGCCCCCCGCCCGTTCCTTGCTGGCCCTGCGGGTCCGGTGGGGCGACCCGCCCGCGCCTGCTGCCCGCGGGGAGCGACCGCCGCGGCGCGGGGCTGCCTGCGCGGAGAGCGGCCCCCCGACCCCCCGCCGGACACCCCCCTCCCCGCCCGACGCCGGCCCGGCTCGCGTCCGGGTTCCCGGGAGTCGCGAGGCCGGAGTGGAAGACGCGCCTTCAGCGGCCGCGGGGCTGGCGCAGGAACCAAACCCAGGAGCGTAAACGAATCCCGAATGGAACGCAAAACTGTCTGACGCAACATTTAACTTTTGCGGCTAAGTGCGAGGTAATAAGACAAATTACTAAAATTTAAAAGGTGAAAACATGAACGATAGCATCATAAAGAATCCCACTCGCAAGCAATCTGCAAATAACTTTGAGGACTCTATTTACAACTTGAAAGGAGAAAAATGTGAATGTAAACTCTTGCCAAATCCTATTAATAAATCCCCAGAGGGAGCTGGTATGTGTATGGTGTCAGGCTTGAATAAATTTTATGCTGAAGTTGACTTAGGAGAACAGGTAAGAGCTTGAGCATTTTTAAAAATACAGAATAAAGAGGCAATTGTCTTATTAAAACAGTGATTAAAATGGTGAACTACCAGAGCAACTGGGTTGACTAGAACTCCATTTATTCATTAATCATGTCATAGTGGCTTAGCACTGATCACTGGCACAGACTCTACACCTAGACACAGATCCGAGAATTTTATGAAACATTAAATACCAATAAAGAATTAATTATTCTAACAAAGCTTTTATTTGCAAATATCAACCTAAATGCTTAGGACACTTTAGACTAACATGGGGAAAAGCCATAAAGATACAGTTCTTTTGGTTATAAGGTAAGCAAAAGCTAACAGCATGAGAACATTTAATAACGGTATTGCTGGACTGGGAGTACTTTCAGACTTCTGGTAGGAATGTGGGAGCAATATTGTGTATCAAGATTTTTTTAAATGTCCATACTCTTTGATCTAATCGTTTACTTCTTACAACTTACCTTCAGGTGATAGTTTCAACTTTGTTGTAAAAGGTGTCCACTATATTTACTTTGAAAAACTGGAGGTGAACACCTGTTCAACAGGAAAACAGTTCTTTCAACTGATATGGTACACCCCATAATGGAATAATTACAATGTTATTAAATTTGAGGCTTATGAACATACTTTAATGACATGCAAGAAATTCTGAGAAATAGGGAGCATTATAGTTAAAAGCCTGAGTTCTGGCATTAAATAGAACTTAAATCTCGTCTCTGCTTCTTACTAGCTGTATGACTTTGGTGAAGTTACTTAACCTCTAAATTTCAATTTCCTTACCTATTTGCTAAGAGGGGAAGTGACTATTAATAGGATTAACTAAATGCACATATACAATTCTAGGTACTCAATAAATGCCAAAGCATAAAATGTTAGTAAGATACAAAATTGTATTTACAATATAATCTATTTTAAAAATACATAAAATATACCAAAGTGTTGAGAGACTATCATTGGTCCAGAGTCTGGGGTGATTTTATTTTGTTTTATGTATCTTCTATAATGAGCAAATGTTACTTCCATAGTAAGAGGAAAACAAATATTAAAGAGTTGGAAGAAAGCAGGGCATGTCATACCATTAAATTGAAAATGAAATTATCCTAACTTTTTTTTAAAAGATTTATTTACTTATGCATACAAGACCTGGGGTACAGGCCAGAGGTACGGGGTGGAGGCGTGTGAGAGGATTCACCAGAGACAGAGTGGGGAACAGAACAGGCAGACTGACTGAAATACACTGCTGAGCGGAGCAGCAGGGAGAGGTCTGCTGTGCCATGTGGGTAGCTCCCTGCCCGGGGATTGATCTGGTGTTGCAGTGGCTGGTAATCTGTTGATCACACTGTGTTTTTAACCCCTGCGCCCCCAGGGAGGATCCACCCCTAACTTCATAAAGGTGACGAGAACTAGTCAGCATATACAACTTCTTTGTCACATGTCATGAGTACATTATGAGAGAACCGAGTGCTTTCCTTACACCCTCTCCACCTTAGTTTGATACTTCCTCGCTATTTAGATCTTTGTCCAAAATACAAAAAATATATACAATAAAAGAAAGTTATTCTTTTCAAACGGTATATTTTATAACCAAGATACAAATGGGCATTGATATACAAGAGGTCAGCTGATTTAAAAACAACAGGTTTACAGCCTGCATTATTGTAGAACTCTTCAAACACAAAATCTAATCACTAGAACCAGAAGCGGAAGGCATACTGAAGGAATCCTTAGTATTACGAGGTCTGGGTTTTAAAAAGCTATCGATTCTAGAATGGATTCTCCTGTGGAATTGTTTCTTGATTATTTCTTGTTGCATCTCTTTCAGTGTGGAATGGAACCTTTGAAACTCAGGTGTGGCATCAACGAAATCCAGAAGGTAGTCCAAACTCTCTCTGACAGCAGATAACTTAAACTCAGTCGTCTGCTCTTCACCTTCCCTTTCTTTCTGAACAATTTCCTTTGTAATCCCACCTTTTGTTTTCTGGGGGCTACCTTCTTCTTCATCCCCATTTAACCACACCCTATCATCCAGCTTCGTTCCCAGCTCTCCACATTTCTGAAGAATTTCTCTGTAATCTCCATCTTCTAAGTCTTGACTGTCATATTCAGATTCCTTTTTGTAAAGAAGATTTTCCCACGCACTTGCTATAGTTACTTGCTTTACTTCATCCCAACTCTTTGCCCAATTAAAAATTGCACTTTTTATGTTACAGATTTTAATCTTGGAAACTCCCTTTTCCCCTTTAGCTTGCTCATCATCGCTTCCTTCAAAAATTACAAGACTCTCTTCAATTTGCTTCCACCTATAAAGTCGTTTGCAGCTCAAGATCACACCTTGGCTCATTGGCTGAATCAAGGCTGAAGTGCTATGGGGAAAGAACATGCACTTTATTCGACCATCCTCACTGGCTAGTGATTCAGTGGACGGGTGAGCTGGGGAACTGTCCAGAAGTAACAGTGCCCTGACATCCTCTCCATGCAATCTTAGGACATTTATTTGAAAATGTCTGACCTCAGGAACAAAGTTTTGAAAGAACCATTCTGCAAACAATTCTCGGGTGAAGCGAACATCTTGACGGGGTTTATATATCACAGGTAACGCGCTTGTGTCAGCTTTCCCGCTTTCGGGCAGCTCTGATTTTCCAATAATGACTGACTTTAACTTATGAGTTCCATCTGCGTTTGCACATAAAAGAGCAGACAGCTGTTCTTTGTTCATTTTCCACCCAGGCAGGCAGGTATCTTTCCTGCTTCCCCGAGTGTTTTCTGGCATTGACTTCCCAAAGAGGTCCGTCTCGCCCCCGCTGTACAGCTGAGCTAGATGCAGTTTTTCCGCTCGGATCAGCATGGACAGTTTTTGTCGAAATGGCTCAACATTTTCCGGAGCTGAACTTAGGACTTGTTCGCCACACACTTTTCGGCTCCCAATGGCGTGCCTATTCCGAAACCTGAAAAGCCAACCGGTGCTAGCTTTGAAGTCTGTTCGCCCAAAACACTGTGCGAATCTCTCTGCAGCGGCCTGAAGCTCCACGCCTCTAACGGGGACCCCGGCCGAGCGTTTCTGTTGGTACCACATGTAGACTGCATCGTCCACGTCACTGTACTTGGCCCCCGTGGTCCTCTTTCTCTTCTCGGCCCCTATTAATGGCATGTCCTGCTTCAGCACAAAGTCCAAAATCAATTTTTTTATTTTTTTTAATGTCATAAAATGTTGATTTACTGATTCCAAATTCATCCATTACATTTTTAAGAGATCGCCCAGCTTCAATCCTACTTAGGACCTTCATTTTCTCCTCCAAATTCAATGTCGTATATTTCCCTCTCTTAGTCATACTGAGTTTGGTTTCAAACAACCAATAGGAGAAAAGACAGGGAAAAGACTTAACAAGTTGGAAAATAACCGAATAAAGCCCCTAAAACTAGTTCACAGCCCAGAAAGCACAGGCATCTGTATTGAAGGCACCGGGCTGGAAAGGATAGGGGGTCATGCCGGACGTGCTAGAGGTCAAGGTGAACTCAGAAAGCTGCAGATACCGAAGTCCTGTCGAGGTGCTCCTGGAAGACATGGGTGACTGGTTTTCTAAGCCTCCCTGCTCCTCCTCTCCCTCCACAGAGCAGCATCAGTCAGGAATAACGGGATACCTGCATCCGCTCCCAAAGCCACCACAGACAGACACAAAAGGAAGAGGGGCAAGACGTCGCTGTAAGAAACCCTGGAGAGCTAAGTCTCGATGACAAGGAGGGCTTCTGAGGGAGTGGGAAAGCTTTAGAGGCAAAACCAGAGTAGACAGAGCAGAGATGCAGTGTGGCTTCTCCCCTTCCGAATGACCTTCTACCTCACTGCCAGAAAAGAAAACCGCGCTCATATTGCTCTGCACCGTGTTCACTGCCCAGCAGTCCATCTACCCAGATTAAGACTCCAAGCTCCAGGGCCCTGACAGTGGGATGTCTGGAGAGATGAAATTCAGAAACACTTGTACAGTATCTTGATGTGAAGAAAATTAGGAGGTTCTGTTGTCCATATAAATGAAATCTAACTTTGATCACAATATGAAGGAGACTGAATGCTGTTCAGTATAGCATTCGCAGACACTGAGCTTGAACCGAGTGTTTATGTTTACCAAGGTATCTGTCAACACATAAATAATGTATTAGTGGCATTTTCCCACTCTCAGATCCTCTTCCTGGCGTATCTCTGGTTTATTCTCAAGGGTTACTTTTCACTGAAATTGTTCCATATTTGGGATATTATCAAGTTTCAGAATCATGGCAATTCTTAGAGATGAATCCAAAAGTTTTACAAATATTGTATCATAGCTTAAAAATGAGAAAAAAAATCTGTCCTTTCGCCTTTTCCCTAGATTTACTTTAGGTTGTTGTTACTCTTCATATTTGAGAGTTTTATTTCTCTTCTGTGTAGATTTTGCTTAATTTGAACCAAGACTTAACTTTTCCACTGCCTGAAGAAATCAACAAAATTTTTCTATTGATGTTTCTGATCAATTATTTTTCATGACTCATGCTGGCACACTCTTCTGTAGCTCTGTGCCCTCAAATATCCTTTCAGGTCCTCCTGGTGCTGCCCAGTGCCATTCCAGGTCCTTAGAAATGTACTACTCTAGATTATTTCAAGGTTCTCATTCCAGATACACAACCTCATAAGAAGAAACAAAAACTGCCACTTTTATCCATTCCAGGTGCTATGAAGAAAGAAAAGTATGTCAGAGAAATGAGGAAAATGATTGCTTTTTCAGTTATTTTTCCTCTCCTTTAGGACAGACCTAACTGGCTTTTTCCAGTCATTCCTCAGCTACAAAGAATTGTCATAAGCCTCTCATCTAGGAATCCAGAAGAATCCAGACTGTTGGTTTCCTGCTTTGTTGTTGCAAAGAATGCCACTTTGGGTTATAGAGCACTAAGAGAATCATGAAAGAACACGACAGCTAACAGGTAACTGGTGGAGCAATGCCAGATTAGGATTAGGTAACTTTCTAAAAGAGGCAGCTATGATTAAGACAGTTTCTAAGTGGTGACAATTAAAAAGTTCCCACTTTGTACGGAAAAAGAAAAAAAGAAAGCATGTTACCAAACAGCACCATGAACTGCAGCAGCACCCAGCAAAAACATTCACCCACCAGAGCAGTTATGTAGTATCTAGGGATAAACACCATGTATTTGTTTTTGCCACTTTCCAGTTGTGCATTTATTATTTTCAAACAATGCCCAAGCAGGAGAAGGTGAAGTCAAAAGGTAAGACTTGGGGACCTTTTGTGGGTGCCCAGCTAGGGTAAGCAGCCATGGCACCAAAGTTCAAACACTGAAAAGCAACAGCAACACCACTTATGTCTTGCTTCCCCCCATTTCCTTTCAAGGGTCTTTTCCTTTCTCCTCTCTCTCACCCCCGCTACCAGCTCCCCACTCCCGGTATTTGTTAGGCCTGCCAAGACATCCAAAGGCAGAATGTCCTTCTTTCCCGTCAATGTTCCCACTGTATGCTCGGCACTGGGACAGGTGAGGACTACCTCAGTGCTCGCAGCATTACTGTCCACTGGCGCTCAGTGGAAACAATAACCATTTTTGGAGAAACTAAATCCCAATCCAGCCGAGAGTCTAAGGAAATGAACCTGTTTCGAAACATACTCAAGTAACTTAGGCAGATGGTGTTACAACTGCCTCTGTTCAGCCTCTCTGTCATTCAAAACGGATCAAGCTCTGTGCCCAGAGAAGTATTAACAACATCCCACCCAGAAGCAAAAAAATAAAAAGACTAATCGCCTGGCAATGGGCTCCCATCTTCAGCCTCACCTCAAACTTACCTCCAGATGAAGCGCCTGAGAAAGCAGCTCTCTCCACAGCGGCTGCGTCAGGGTTCCCTGCTCGCCGCAGTGTCCCGCTGCCCGGGAGCGCGCCGCAGGTCAATTTCTAACCCGAACTCGCCACTCGGCGAGTACTGGCTACCGATGCCCGCGTCTAACCTCTCCCGCTTTCAGGCCGGGGCTCTTCCCTGGCCCGGGCCTGGCCCGGGGCGCCCACTCCCTGCCTCGGGCGAATCCCTCAGGGTCGTCAACGCTGCCCAGAGGAAACTCACCCCACCGCCCCGGCTCCGGCCCGTCGCCGTTCCCTCCCCGCGTCACCACCCCGGGGACGCCGCAGTCCTTCGGCGGGTCCGAGCCACTTGCCCTCGGCTCGCCCCGCGCCCGCGAGGGGCGACCCCAGCCGGGGTGAAGACGGAGCAGCGACGACCCCGACGACTGCGGGTCCGGGGAACGATTCCGGCGGCGCGGAAGGCCCGTGGCCGGGGGCGGGGCAGGCGGGCCGGCGCGTCTCCCCGGGGCGGGCGGCGGGGCGGGCCGGGGTGGGGGGCGTGGGGGGGCCCGGGCCTCCGGGGAGGGGCCGCGCGCGCCGCTCCCGCCTTCCGGTGTCCGGCACGGGAGGAAACTGCCTCCGAGAAGACACGGCCGAGGTACTGCGCAGAGCCCCTCGGGGCCGCCGTCGAGCGGCGACAGGATCGGGGGCCGCGGGAGCCCCGGACCACAGCGCGGCGCGGCCTCCGGGCGGCGGGGCCGGGCCCGCGAGCTCCGGGGCTGCCACCCTACGGCGGGGCGCCCGGCGCCCACGCGGCACCGAGACGGCGACACCGCGCGCCGGGCGCTCTAGGCCTCGGCGGCCGAGGGACTCGGTGGCTTTGACCCCGCGGCGCCGCCAGGGCTGAGCCCGGCCAGGACGCCGCCGCCTCTCGCGAGAGTTAGGGCGGTGCCGGCAGGAAGCCCCGCCCCGGAAGCGCGTCGCGCCCGCTTCCGGTTGGCGCGCAGGCCCCAGGCGCCCCCACGGCCCGGCGCGGCTGAGCGGCTTCGCTGCCCCGCGGGCGCCCCGCAGTCCCGCGTCCCCAACGCTCGCAGCGGCGCCCGCCGGGCCTCGCGCGCCCGCCTCCGCGGCGCAGGGGGAGCCGCGCGCCCCAGCTCGGCGACCGGAGAAGACGGGGCGCCCTCCCCGACGCTGAGCTCCCCGAGGTAACCGGGAGGCCCCTTCCGCCTCGGCGACGCTGCCCGGGCCCCGGGGGACGCCGGCCGCAGCGAGCGGGCGGGCGGCCATTTTCCCCGGCGGCGGCGCTTCCCGGCTGCGCGGCGGGGCCCGCCCGCCGGTAGGGGCCGCGGCAGCCGCCCGCCCGGACCGGCCTGCGCGCGTCCCCGCCCCCGCGCGCCCTGGCTGCCGCTGCTGTCCGCGCGGGAGGACGGTCCCTCGGCCTCGGGGAGCAGCGCCTGCGGGTGCAGGGGCAGCAACCGGCCCTCGGGTGGGCAGCGAGGCCGCCCCTGTGCGCCCCCGGGCAAGTGAGGCTCGCGAGCTGTCCCCTGCCCGGCTCTCGCATCTAAATGGAAAGGCCCCGAAGGGTCACCTTAGTCATCACCAACCACCATTCTCTCCTTTTTTTTTGTAGTTTGATTTGGGTATTTTCTTAGCAAAGCCAACTCATTTGGCTGTATGCGTCTTGCAAAGACGTGCCAAAGGCGGATATAGACCGTTTAATTACTTAATTTGGGGATGCTTTCTGGGAAGAATAAAGCTGTTTTCCCCGAGTACTGCTCTGGTAGGTCTCGCTGTCGACTCTCCTACCAGTATCTGTGTAATGGACGGGAAAATCTCACATGGCCCATGAAATCCAGGCTTTCATCTAAAAGAGGATGAAGGGGAAAGAAGTTTTACCTCTTACTAAAGACAGGAGTGGGATGGGGGGATAATACGTTAAAATTTAAGAGAAACTCTGGGTGTGCTCCTAATCTTCCTGGGACGTAGGAAAGGTGGGCTAGGAAGCCCAACAATTAAATTTTTGGGTGATCCCAAAACTGCAGAGTAGGTGTCAATTTTCTTATCCAAAGACATCATGATCAGTTGGCATTTTTCTTCAGTGAGCTCTGCTGTATTGAACAATGGAAAGAAAAGGAGAGAAAGCACTTGGTAGTTGATTTTTTATTTTTTTGTTAAAGGGAAAGCCAGACGGGAGTTTTCCTGTGGAAATGAGTAGCAGGTAGTAAAAGCTCATGTGACTTTCATAATAACATGTACTTTTTTCTGCTTCCAGTGCCTTAGGAAGAAGATCCATTGGGTCTCAGTTATCAAAACTTGTGTTGGTGGTGTGTCCAGTACAGAACACAGCTGTTCGTAGAGCAGAATGGTGATGGTAGATCTGAAGGAGGCTGAGTATTTGAGCCCTCAGATCAGGGCTCTGTGGGAGAGCAAAGGATCTGTGATGGGGAGGTCCATACAAAGTAAGAAATATAGCCCACAGATGGACAGCATCAGTTCTGAGAGCTCTCGTCAGCACTTCCGGAACTTCCACTATCATGAAGCGATTGGACCCCGAGAGGCTGTTGGCCAACTCCAGGAATTATGCCGTCGTTGGCTGAGACCAGAGATTCACTCAAAAGAACAAATCCTGGAACTGCTGGTGCTGGAGCAGTTTCTGACCGTTTTACCCAGGGACATGCAGTCCCATGTAAGGAAGCACCATCTCCAGAGCGTCGAGGAGGCTGTGACTCTGGTGGAACACTTGCAGAGGGAATCTGGCCAAACAAGCAATGGGGTGAGAAGAAAGAGTCCTGATATGTACGGTGAAATAGGATGAAGGTAGACCTGTCGGTGGTGGGGACAGAAATGAGATGAATTAGGTCACTGTTCTGTTGCTCCTTTAGGACATCTGCAGCAGGAACTGAATCAGACCTGCAGCAAGAGTCAGTCCACGTGTTTCCGAGATGCAGGCAGAGACTCCCTAACCTTAGAGAAGAGGTTCCTTTTGCCTTCTGCAGCCAGGGTGACTTGGGAATAAGGAACAAAGTCTGACTTGGCCAAAGTCTGACTTGGCCAAAGTATTGAGTTTTTAGAAATAACAGGCAATAAAGAAAGCGGGGCCGGCGGGGGGGCGGGGGGTCCAAAAGGGGTGAAGAACACTTAGAGACCAAAGAAAATCTAGGATAGTAAAAAGGAGTGGTGAAACAGCTAGGGAGAGGGCTGCAAAGGAAGAGAAAAGGGGCAACAAATTCGGAAATCCTGACATAGCTGAGAGAAGAAAGGCACTAAGCGGTGGTGGTCTGCATGTATAGGCAGGGCACTCCACTATCCTTCGTGCTGGTCTTTGGCTCTGCGGGTGAGTAGGGATCAGGGGATTCCTTTGGCAGGTGGCAGCACATTGACCTCAGGCCTACTGTGAAGAATACAGAGCAGGGTAGGTGTTGATGTCAGAATCTTTAGGAGGTGGGTTGGAACCAGAGTGTTTCTCCCCCCTTTTTTTAATTCCATCCCATTTTCTGTGAAAACCTTCCTTGACTGTGGGAAAAATTTGATCCACAAAGTAACATTTTAAATGTATTTCTTTAATTTTTTGAGAAAACTGGAAGACAAACCAGTAAATAAGCTAAGATAAAGTAGAACTGTAAAAGCAGCACGAACTAGGCAGCCTGTACAAGGATTATACAGACTATTAATGATCTGTATGCAGAGGGGTGGGGATTGCTATGTTAGAGAGCTGGCAGCCATATTTTTTTCTCTCCTAATTTTTCCCAGATTTTGTGACTAATTCTTTGTGGAAAATTAGTGACCCAGTATCTCTCAAGGCTTTTTTCCTTTCCATGATTTGCCTCCCACTTCCCAGAGTCTGACCTGTACACTTGTTCTTCTTCCCACCACAAACCCCCAAGCCTAAAGTAAGTTCTTTGGTGACAAGGATGGGGATTATTTCTAGGTTGTGATCCATGATCTGGGAAAGGAGGCAGTCTTGGGAGAAAGAACGGCACCTCCCGGCTTCAGGCTGAGGCCAACAGAATCCCAACCAGGGGCCATGTCCCAGGATGAAGAATTTTGGAGTACATACCAGGGTCTACGAGAACAGCTGAGCAGAAATACTGATACAGAAACTGAGCCTGTATGTGAGAGGGGTAAGGAGCTTCATGATAATTTCCTTTCTCTCAGAACTCTCATAGTAATTTGTTCATCCAGAGCACGGTAAGCATTTTGTGGGTACTCAGCTCTGCGGATCTGCAAGTGCAGTCATATTAGGAATCGCAATGCACCCCTCATCCCACGCCACCACAGACGGTAGAATAGACTAGCTAAGAACCAAGGTGGGGATTGGCCAATGGTATAGAAATGTTCAACAGAATTTTGGTAATTACACCATGGACTCTCTTAGAAAATGGAGACGGGTAGGACCACCTCAGATGTGGAAGTAACTGGGATCAGAAATTGTTTGCCAGTGTCAGAATGTGAACACAACTGTGTATCAAGAAAAAGAATAAATGAAAAACTATATTTTTTACTGTACACTGGAGTCCTGAGTACTTCATTTTCAAATACACTAATTTTGGTCTTACATGGAGCAATATATACCAGGAGAAGAAAATAAAAGGGTTTTTCTTTTTGAAAATTCTCTCCTGAAAACTGGGGAACCTGTTCTAGGTATTTACAAAACCTCTTATTTATAATGAACAAGCTACTCTGGATACCATGTAACACTTAGAAGTGTCCCAACTCTACAAGAGGAAATTGGAAGTTTTGGTTTTTAGAAATGAGCTCAGGGGTATTAGGAGAGAAGTGAAAGAAATTGCCTCTGGCTCTTTTCCACCCACAGCCATGCCTGCACATCAGAATCTAGCTTTTCCTGCGCAAATCAAAGACTGGACAGTGGCACCTGAACTCATCTTACCTGAGTCCCAGGTGAGCTGAACTTTCTCTGCTGCTTGTATCCCACACTGCCCAGCAGATGCTCAAGGCATGTTAGCCCTGATGTGTTCTCCCTGAGGAATGGTGCTCCCCAGGTGGTTTGCTGATTACTTGCCTCCTTTGCTGCTTTCTGACTTAAGACAGATCATGTACTGTTATCCCTTCCGTGCCTGGCCTGCCATTCCATAGGCTGGGTGGAGGACTATTTTATAGTACAAGTACTGAGCTGAAGCACATTCTTTTTTAGAGCTTGTTGACATTTGAAGAAGTGGCCATATATTTCTCCCAGGAAGAATGGGAGTTGCTGGACCCCCCTCAGAAGGCCCTCTACAATGATGTAATAAAGGAAAACTATGAGACTATCATCTCTCTAGGTAAAGATTATCCCTTCTCTGAGTAGAAATTGAGTAATCTGTGTGTTCTTGGATTCTTGGGGATGCCCTCCTGTGAGAGGCACTGGTTCAAAAGCTGGTTGGTTTTCAACTAGATGGTGTGAGGGACTGCAAAGAGGCACCCACCTCACCTGGGAGCTTTTTCCAAATGTGTGTGCTCATTCTTATCCTAAATTCTTGGTCTCCAGCTTTTCCCCAGCAAATACGCTTTGCTTTTCTCTTTCCTACCTCCATAACGGAGCTCCGTTATTTATAATATCATGCCAAAAAAAACTCAGCAGTCAACCATTGCTCTGATCTACCTGTTAATACCCCACTGTGGCCCATCACTAGGCCTCTTAGCTTCATCTTCACAATATAAACTGACTCCAACCATGTCTTAGCCTTTTGCACATTAACATCCTGGCCTGAACCAGTGGTATCTCTAACCAGTCACCTCAGTAACATCCTGTCACCCCTGCCACCACCCTTGTTATCTCACAGTATTTCCCAGATAGCAGCCAGAGTGATATATTTTTTTAAAGATTTATTTATGCATACAAAAACTGGGCACAGGCCAGAGGTGCAGTGGGTAAGAGGATTCACCAGAGACAGAGTGGGGAGCAGAACAGGCAGACTGACTGAAATACATTGCTGAATGGAGCAGCAGGGAGACAGGAGAGGTCTGCTACACCCTGTGGGTTGCTCCCTGCCCAGGGATTGAACTCGTGCTACAGTGGCTGTGGCGAGCTTACAGGTTGCGTCTTAACCCCTTGTGCCACCAGGGAGGCCTCCCAGAGTGGTATTTTTATTTTTTAAAAAGATTTTATTTATACAAGAACTGGGGTACGGGCCAGATGTGCGGGAGGGTGAGAGGATCCATCAGAGACAGCAGGGAACAGAACAGGCAGACTGACGAAATACACTGCTGAGGGGAGCAGTGGGCGAGACCGGAAAGGTCTGCTGCACCATGTGGGTATCTCCATAGCCGGTGGGGATAGAACCTGTGCCACAGAGGCCGTGGATAGCTTCACAGCACGGCGCTCTACCACCTGCGCCACCAGGGGAGGCCCAGAGAGTGATATTTTTAAAAACCTAAGCAGACCATGACATTTCTTTGCTTCAAAATCTTGTGGTGACATCACACAGGAATAAAACCCAGTCTTTACCTAGTATCTCAGCATTTTTAAGATATGGCCACTACTCATCTTCCTGCCATCATCTGCCACTAGAGCCTTTGGTCCTTTTCAGGCACATTGGTTGTATTTTACTCTTTCTTGAATTTGTCATCCTTATTTCTGCTTTCCATTTTCTGTGCTTGGCATGCATTTCTGCTACATGGCAAAACATTTTTAGGTTTTTTTCTCAAATACTACTTTCCCAAAGCGACCTTCCAAATAACTTTCTTTAAAATTAAGCTAAATGGGGCCTTCCCAGTGGCGCAGCGGGTTGAGCACCATGCTGTGAGGCTGTCCGCAGCCTCTGCAGTGCGGGTTGGATCCCAGCCACCGGCAAGAATCCCACATGGTGCAGCAGACCTCTCCTGTCTTGCCCGTTGCTCCCCTCAGCAGTGTATTTTGTCAGTCTGCTGTTCCGTTACCCACCCTGTCTCTGGTGAATACTCTCACCATCCCGCACATCTGGTCTATAGCCTGGATCTTGTATAAATAAATAAATCTTCAAAAATAAATAAATCTTAAAAAAATTTAAAATTAAGCTAAACAGAAGCAATCTCTTACCCTGATTTCATTTGCTTCAAAACATCACATTTTGACTTTCTTTTGTTCATTAATATTTGATTTTCTTACTCTTTACTATAATGTAAACTCAGCGCTATTGGGACTTTATTCACCAGTATATCCTTAGCCAGTTGAGAGTGCCTGGCACATCATGGCCACACAAACCATGTATTAAATGACTGATGAATTCTTTCCATATTGGCAGTCTGTTTGAAAAAACTCTACTAAGTTACCTTAGTCTCTGTCTACCACCTGGATGTGCACTAATGAGCTGCTGGAGTGGTGGGAACCTTTGTCAGTTAAGTGCATGGTGCTTGGGAGCACAATGAAAAGTTACTGTAATTATCACAGAAATCACTTGGTATATGATAGCCAACCCACTGGCCTTCACATTGGCTCTGGGAGAACTGGACTTGGCCAGGACAGATCCTCTTATATATCGAGTCACTGGGTCCAGATTGTATTCCCTACAACCTCTTGATTTTGCCTTTCTCAAAATGCAGTATTCCACACCCTATATCCTTTTCATTGATCCAGCTTAGATTGATTTATCCACTTTGCATATCCAGCCACGAATGAGATACAGAATAACCTGATAACTGGATTTGAAAGTTTATCCACTTTGTTACTAATTAGGGTAACAAATTGTAGAAGTGTCCTTGTTCTTCTTGAAATAGCCTGGAATTAGAGGATCAAGTCGTTGTTTACCAGTCGTTGACCGCATCTTTTCCATCCCACAGCATTATATGTGCTCCCTAAACCTAAAGTGATCTCCAGTCTAGAGAAAGGGGAAGATGCGTGGGTTCAAGGATTGATGGAGAGCAAAGACAGTCTTGGAGAGTTGCCCGAAGGTAAATAAACTAGGGGAAGAGGATGCATTTAACTTGATTGTAACTTTTACAAAGGCTTAACATTTTAAGATTCTACGTTTCTATTTTTTTAAATCAGTTGTCATGATTTCCCCCCCCCTCTTATTCCTGTGGCCCTTCCTTTGCCATACTTGTGGCTAACACTTATGTTTGTTCCATAGGGTTAAAGCTCAAAAATGACATTGAAAGTCCGCAACCTCTATGTCTTTCTGACTTAGAAATACAAGCACCAGGAGATATAGTGTCAAAAAAGGACAGAGTAAAAGTTTCCCAGAAAACAATGGACAAAGAAAATCATGATGATACGCACAGAGTGGGGAAATGGCACGGAGATAAGCCAGTGAAGAAAAGAAAGAAATTTTCAACTTGGAAACAAGAGCTGCTAAAACTTATGAATCTTCACAAGAAGCACCGTGCAGGAGAGAAACCTTTTAAATGCCAGGAATGTGGAAAAAGCTTCAGAGTTAGCTCTGACCTTATTAAGCACCAAAGGATTCACACTGAAGAAAAACCTTTTAAGTGTCAGCAGTGTGATAAGGGGTTTAGATGGAGTTCAGATCTCAATAAGCACTTAACAACACATCAAGGAATAAAACCATATAAATGCTCATGGTGTGGGAAAAGCTTCAGTCAAAATACAAATCTACACACACACCAAAGAACTCACACTGGAGAGAAGCCCTTTACATGTCATGAATGTGGAAAAAAGTTCAGTCAGAACTCCCACCTTATTAAGCACCGGAGAACCCACACAGGTGAGCAGCCTTATAGCTGTAGCATATGCAGGAGAAACTTCAGTAGGCGGTCAAGCCTTCTAAGACACCAGAAACTCCACCAATGACAGAAGAGTCCAGTGTCCTCAGTCTGAAGAAATTTACCCAGTGGAGCATGACCCTAAAGTTATGAAAAGATTCAAAATTATGAAACATGAAGAATATTTCATCAGTGGAAATTTAGGTATATAAGCATTGATTTTCACAGAAAGAAACCAAGAAGGTTGATTCTGCAGGTGATAGGTTCATTAGCAGCTATACTACTTATTGTTTTTACTTTAGCCTTCAGGGACTTCCTTAGCAGAAGTGTTCTGAGAATACTCTGGGTAAGGGAAAAATCTGACAGAACAGCAAATCCCCCTTCAAGTAGCAGATGCAGCCATGAATCCACTGATACTTTTCTGTGATTACAGAGGTAAACATTGTTGGTCTGGCATTTGTCTTGCTGGTCACTCTTAAAATATACAGAAATGTTTGTGGTATGGGCTTCCAAAACAAAAAGCAATAACTTGCGCGTTTACTTGCATATCATTGTCTTCAAGGTAGCAGACTTAACCAAGTTCAGTATCTCATGAAATTCTAATTTAGATTTTCCCAAGAACAAAGTTGGATTTTTTTCCTTCCTCTTGTCATTAGACTCTGTTCACAAAGTTGGACATTGTTTGAGTTCCTTGAACTTTTTAGCAATTTCAGCTCTTGAATCCTATTAGGATGATTGTTTTACAGTGATGAAATCATATTTGCTAGGAAATCTGCCGGATGAACTAAATGCACTATTCTTATGCCGCTCTTTGGTGGTGTTTGCAATGTAAAGGAAAACATCTCTAATGAGATCATACGGAAAACGGGTTGGAATTTTTAGCCATGGACTACATAGTAAGGCATAAAGAATTTCTTTGCAGTAAAAGAATCTAACTTGTTTCTTTACCTCACAGCGTCAGTGGGATAAGCAGCCATAAGAATTAGCGTTTTCTCAAGGCCTAAAAGAAAGGTGATGGGAGTTCAGTATCAACTCAGGTTTGATTTTAAATTTGGCTTTTGTTGGGAATAAGGATGGAGCTGTTTGCACTGGAATGTGTGCTCCAGGCAAAATCCTGTCCTTCGCTGAACGTGATGACTAGTCAACAGGAAACGGGGGTCCTGGAAAGAGAAGTTTGGGAACTGATGCTGAGTAGTTGGCATGGACGGGCAAGTCCATTTCTCTGTTGTTTGTCTTACACTGTTAAAGGGACAGGATCTACTCTCTGTCCTCTCCAGCACAGCATTTAATGGCAACCTTAGCAATACATTGGATAGACTGCTGAAGATGTCTGTTTGCTACAGGTTTTTCTTTTAATTTACCTTTCTTAGAGCTTTGACTCAGGTGTTTTCTGTTAGTGCTTTTAAGCATTATCAGGGAAAGGATTCAAGAAATGATCCCTTCCAGATCTCTTATTAATGTAGTTAGGACTCAGAGATGCAATCATGTATCCAAGACTCTGTAACTAGAGGGTCTGTTAGCTGTCACGCACATCAGGTGGGCCAGAAGGCAGGATTCGGACGAATTTGCATGTTATCCCTATATAACCAGCCTGGATGACGACGTGTATATTTTTAGCTTATAAAGCATTCCTGTTTCTTGATTAGTTTCACTGAGATGCTCTTAGGTCTCCATTTTCTTAGAGGTCACACAACTCAGGGTTGTTCTGGAAGTTAGATGGGGTGATGGAAGAAGGTACCTCAGCACAGCCTGGCCAGTAGTAGGCGCTCCATTAGCATGTGTTTCCCTTTCTCGTGCCCAGTGGCATGTCGGACTAACCGATTCCATTAAAAAAGCAGATACTTTCGTAGCTAGTGCAGCTCCTTTTAGGAGCCGAGTGCTAGTGGTGGCATTAGGCTAAGTTGTTCCTTGGCATGAGCGCCATCTGAACTTTTGGTCCGTGGTGCTCTCAACATGGATTTTATTTTATTCCCCAAGATAAACTACAAATATTTCTGAAGCTTAGCCAGAGCTGAAGCTCTGGTCTGCATAGCTGTTATGCAACATCATCAGCCTGAGCTGCCTGGAACTTTGTCTTCTCCCCACGTGTTTGTGGATTTTTTGCTGGCACTACACTCATTAAGTTATATTTGATGAGGGGCTGTTGTGTGCCCAGGCACTGTCCTAGACTGAGGTGCAACAGTGAATGAGAGACAAAGATGCATACCCTCAAGGGTCTTGTATTCTAGTGAACAATAAAAAGGATGGTTACAATTCCCTGCCCCTGCAGTGAAGGTCTAAGATGGTTTCGAGCAGTGGCTAATCGGCAGAGGCCTTGCTTCTGTACTTGTGTTTGCTGGTACAAAACTCTAATCATCTCTTCTTCAGCCGTGTAAACTCAGGAGCAATGAGATGAAAGCGCCTGGAATGTTGACCCTCTATACCCAGAGGGCAGCTGTGTAGAGAGTTCCCCTGACTTACAATGGACCTTGCAGGAAGAGAAATAAATTTTTGTGTTAAACAAGTGTTGTTGGTGCTTTGTGTTTCTGCAGCATAGCCTGTCCTGTCCTAGTAGAGACCACTGTTCTACTAGAGCTGTTTTCACCTGACTTTTTTTTCTTTATGGACATTTATTGTGCAACTAATTGTTGAAAACCTTAAGATGAACTGGATGCAGCAACAGCTGCCCTCTTGGGTTTAAGTGATAATTCCTTTGGGGAATCCATGCCTGAATCTCATATGCAATTTTAGGTGCCTCATTTGACCAGTCCCACTGGCATTTTGTCTTTCAGCTTGGCACTAAAATTATGCTTTCTCTCCTGCTTGGCAGAGTAGCCACATTTGCTGCAGGTCCACTTGTGAAGGTGGTAGCCTTTGAGTCACAGAAGCAGCATGAAGTGTGCGCCTCACTGTGACTCCTTCCCTTTGATGGTCTCTCCGTCACCTTGCTTCTGCAGCTGAGGCCAAAGAGCTCCCCTGGCCATTGACCCGCAGAAGAGATCTGGCTTCATCTAGCTGTTCCACTGGGCTGATGTAATACTGCTGGGAATACTTAGAAGAATGTAGGTGATAGGAAATACCCATTACTTACCTGGGACAAAGCCTGGGAGGTAAGTTGTTCAAGTGGACAAGGCAAACCTCCCTCCCTGGCTTTCGTCCACTCCCTGTGTTCTTTGTCACCGGTTTCCACTGCTCCATGTGCACAAGTCACATTTCTCCTGATGGATGGACCGGGGCGATGGGGAGCCTTCCACTCCACCAGTCCCTGCTTCCTCTGTTGGCCCTTTTAGGTTGTACCTGAAACACATGGGACATAGGGAAGATGCACACTTGCCCAGATGTTGAGAGGAGGTGGCTGCTCTTGTGGATAAGGGGTGATGTTTGGGAGGAAGCTGGGCTGGGAAGTAGGAAGAGACAAGATGGTAAGTGAAAAGACTCCAATGAGAAAGTCCCAGCTCAGCCAATAGCCAGCAGCACGTTGTCTGAACTCACACTTGGAATTAGGGTGAATCTGGAAGCTGGAAGAAGGAATTTTTTTTGAAGATTTATTTATGCATGCAAGAATTGGGGTACAGGCCAGAGGTATGGGGTGTGTGTGAGAGGACTCACCAGAGACAGAGTGGGGAGCAGAACAGGCAGACTGACTGAAATACACTGCTGAGGGGTGCAGCGGGGAGACAGGAAAGGTCTGCTGCACCATGGGGGTCAGCTCCCTGGCCAGAGCTCGAACTTGTGCTGCAGTGGCTGTGGATAGCTTCATAGGCTGTGTCTTAACCCCTTGCGCCACCAGGGAGGCCCTGGAAGAAGGAATTTCTTACAGCCTTGTCTCAGGGGTGAGCAATTATTAAGCTAAGAGAAAATCAAAATCTTCAGGCTTGGTTTTAAAATCTGAGATACATACAATCCTCGGTTTGTTCAGCTCAAACAGTAGCGGTTCTCACAAATAAACCCTCCATAATCAAACGATTTCTAAGAAAAACCAGAAAGTGCTTGGCTCCAAGTGCTTGGTTCTGAGAACCGTATCATTAATCCAACTTAGTCCCCCAAATCCCTTACCCCTTCTGTGCCCTGGTCTAACATGACTGTAGTGCTGGGACCACCCCAACCCAATTCTCCCAATAAGCAGGCTGGAACCTCAAGCTGTTCTTGAGAGCCTCAGCTGCATGGCAGAGTTGGCTTAGAATCAAATGAACTGCTAGGGGTTCCTTAGGTTTTGGAAGTAATCAGAACAGTGTCTAACCCCTCTGGAGAGTTTAAGAGGAAGGCGCTAAGCAGCCTTTTCTAGGCAGCTGGAAAGCTGGGACAACAAAAGACTTGGACCTCATAAAGGACTTCTGAAATACTCATCAGCTCCTGTCCCCAGCGGGTGTGCTGAACACCTGTGTTTTCCTGGACAGTTCCCACTTGAGTAGTGGACCCAGGCTGCCGCTCTTCCTTTTTGCTCCTGGAAAAGTTTTCCCCCTAGTGCTGACAGTGGACTATTTGCTCCCCAAGTTCTCCTGTGGGCTGGGTTTTCACCCATACAGTCTCTAAAGTGCCCTCAAGTAGGAAATGTGGAAACCACACTGTCTTGGGTTCTTTCCAGAATACAAAGGCATATTGTTACTGATGTTTTCACACTTGTCAGTTCTCTAGTTTTCTTGTGTCGGTTCAGTGGCAAGACTGGAGCGCCATTTGAAGCATATGTAAAATTTGATATGTGTGGAAATTCATGTGTGAGTTCTCCATAAGCAATGGCATTAGACTACACTTTCCACGGCCAAGCATCTGCGAGTCTTGTATGATTTACCCAAATTTGATGGAGCTTGCACTTAGAGCAGTTCCCCTCACCTGCCTCTTAGGAGAGGAATTAAGCAAACTTGTGTCTTGCATTGAATTTCAGATTTAGATTTAGGAAAACTGCCAGGATCACTTCTTTCTACCACAGTAGGAAGAGAAATCAAGTTGCACTGATCTTAACACTTACACAAAAAATTAAGCTTTATAGTACTTGGATACAATGCACCTTTTAAGAAAAATAGTAAGAAAGCTTGCTATTGAATTTTTTAAACTAACACCATAAATTTCACACTAAGCATTTGTCATGACTTGTCCAAAAAAAAGGTAAAGAATTGTTAATGTTAGGGCCTCCCCAGTGGCGCAGCGGTAGAGCGCTGGGTCGCGAAGCTGCCCGCAGCCTCTGCAGCACCGGTTCTATCCCTGGCTGCACCCCGGCCACCGGAGGAGGGTCCCACATGGCACGCAGACCCCTCCTGCCGCCCCCTGCTCTGTACAGCAGTGTACTTCGTCAGTCTGCCTGCTCTGCTCCCTGCTCTGGCTCTGGTGAATTCTCTCACCCTCCCGCACTTCTGACTGTACCCAGTGCTTGTATAAATAAATAAATGAATGAATAAATAAATAAAAATAAATCTTTGAAAGAAAATTGTTAATGTTAATAAGGAGGCAGTAAAATTAAAAGACTATAGAAAGGGCCTCCCCGGTGGCGCAGCGGTTGAGCGCTGGGTTGCGAAACTGCGTGCGGCCTCTGCGGCGCCGGTTCGATCCCCGGCTGCTCCCCGGCCACCGGAGGAGGGTCCCACATGGTGCGCAGACCTCTCCTGCCGCCCGCTGCTCCCCTCAGCAGTGTACTTCGGTCCTTCTGCCTGCTCTGCTCCCCGCTCTGGCTCTGGTGAATTCTCTCACCCTCCCTCCCGCACTTCTGACTGTACCCAGTGCTTGTATAAACAAAACAAACAAACAAACAAACCAGCAAACAAATAAATAAAGCATGCCTCTATTAAAAAAAAAAAAAAAAGTCTTTTTTTTTTTTAATGTTAATAGCTTAAAGAACAATACCTCCTTACACAGAAGAGTTAGTGGGAATGAATTTCCCCCTTACACGGCAAGCGGGCTTTACCTAGTACCAAAGCTGTTCTCCTTAACGGAGGAGCTCATATTTCTTTTTCTTTTTTTTTTTAAGATTTATTTATTTATACAAGAGCTTTTATTTATTTATTTATACAAGGGATATAGTCAGAGGCTTGGGAGGGTGAGAGGATTCACCAGAGACCGAGCGGGGAGCAGAACAGGCAGATGTACCAAAGACACTGCTGAGGGGAGCAGCGGGCAAGACAGGAGAGGTCTGCCGTGCCATGAGAGTTTCTCCCAGGCCTGCCGGGAATCGAACCCACGCTGCAAAGTCTGTGGACAGCTTCACAGCGCGGCGCTCAACCCGCTGTGCCACAGGGGAGGCCTGGAGCTCATATTTCTGATCTCAATCTTGAGTTAAGTGCTTCTGCAGTGGTCTCTTCAATCTCTCCAAAGCTCCCATATTTCAAAATCCAGACTTACACAAGGACTCTTCCCCCCTTGACTGTCTCTCGTACCCGTCACCTGCAGTTACGCTCTCCGCTCTGAGCACCCTGTTTAATTCCTTCATGACAGATATCAGACCTTAGAGCTATTTGGTTTGTGACCTTGTTTTGTTCTGTCTTTCCCGTAAGAATGTGAGTGTCCTGAGGGCAGCGGCGCTGTCTGTCTGGTGCAGCCTTAAATCTTGTCGAGCAGAAGCCTGAGAGAAAATGCAATACACGCAGAAATGAAGAGAGCCGTCAACAGGGAAAACTGCCCTGGCCCCCTGAACATCAGGGTCAGTTACTCTGGGCATTCCCTGAGTCCTTCATCTCTCTTCCTCAGGGTTTGTTTGTTTGTTTGTTTGTTTGTTTTTTTGTGGGACCCTCCCGCTGGCTGGGGAATGGAATGAACCGGCGCTGCAGAGGCCATAGGTAGCCCCGCAGCCCAGCGCTCAACCGCTGCGCCACCAGGGGAGGCCCACTTTCTTCTACAGGTTTTGAGTACTTGACTCTGTGTGTACTTGAGTCCTGGTCTTGTCCTTAACCAGGAGAGAGAGAGAAGAGGAGCTCGCGGGCCCTAGGAGGGAGCACACTGAGAATTTCCGTGTTGGAGAGAAATGAATGTCTAATGCAGTCATCCCAACTGCGTGAACTCCAGGCCCAGGCCTCAGGGAGCTTTGCCCTAGAATAGGAAGATGGGGTTTCATTTGAGCCCCTAGGACAGCTCCCCTCAGGTTGCTGTTCTCTGCAGCAGTATCACCCCCACAATGTCTGCTGCCCAGTACTTGTCAGTAGCATGGACCTGAATGTCTACACGGACTTAGGGTCTTACAAATGCATCATGCCTTGCCTCCCACAGACCCTCAACAGTGAGACACAGAAGGTTCTAGAAGGGGCCTTAAAAATCTAGCTCTGTCAGTAGATCTCAAGCTGGTACTCAGAGAACACTGTGAGAGGTGCAGAGACAAGCCAAGAAAAAAGTATTCTGTACCCAAGTGAATTTGGGAACAACTGGTTAGATAAAGTTGGTGGGTTTTTTTTTTAAAGGTTTATTTTTATTTTATTTTATTTTCTTTATTTATACAAGCACTGGGTACAGTCAGAAGCGCGGGAGGGTGAGAGAATTCACCAGAGCCAGAGTGGGGAGCAGAGCAGGCAGAAGGACCGAGGTACACTGCTGAGGGGAGCAGCGGGCGGCAGGAGAGGTCTGCGCGCCATGTGGGACCCTCCTCCGGTGGCCGGGGAGCAGCCGGGGATCGAACCGGCACTGCAGAGGCTGCGGGCAGCTTCGCAACCCAGCGCTCAACTGCTGCGCCACCGGGGAGGCCCAAGTTGGTGTTTTTATTATAGAATTTCTCAGGGCATTTATGTTTAAAGGTATGACATGAAATTTGGGGTCAAGGAAGCGCAGCATAAACATGCAGTATTCGCCAGCCTTATTTGACTGTGGAGACCCTGTGGTGGTGGTGGTGTGTGTTAATAATCA